CGACACCACCGCCTTCAACTCTGACCAAGCTAGCACGGACGATAGTGATGCCGACACCGACGCCGGCGGCTTCAGCCCCAGCGACGGTAGTTCGCTCGACACGGACAACGACGACGGCCACACTCGTGACCCACCACCTGCCCAGGTTCCCGACGCCCTCCCCGCCAACGCTATTGTTGCCAACACCAAAGACATGCTTAAGCTCATGGTCGACACCTGGGAGCCCATCTTGGGCAGGTACCGCGCTCGCGCGGGCCATGACGCCGAAGCTATGCCGACGTGGGCGGACTTCTACGACGAATACCGACAAGAGCTGCCTACGCCATCACCAGCAGCCCATTTCCACCTCACCGATGACCAACTCATCCACTTCATTCGCACCCGTTCACCGCGCCGCGCGGGGGGACTCGACGGCTGGACAACTAAGGAGGCTAAGGAGTTACCCGACGACATCCTTCGCCTCTTCGCCAGCGTCTTACGTGCTATGCAACGCACTGGCACCATCCCCGAGCCCATCCTGCACGTGCCAAACCCGTGCCTCCGAAAAGGCCGAGGGGAACTCCCGACGGACCAACGACTTCTCTCGGTTCTTTCCGTGTGGATGTATGCGTGGGAAGCGCCGGCCTACCGTAGCCTCACGACCTGGCGGCAAGGATGGACCCATGCCACGAGCTTCGGCGCTGTTCCCAAAGCCACCATTGGGGATGTCAGCACCTCTCTCGCCCTGCGCATCGAACGCGCCAGGACTTTACTCCTCCCCTTAGCTGGAGCTGCCCTTGACCGACAGAAGTGCTTCGACTACCTCATCACGGACATCTGTCTAAACCTTGCGCTGCACGCGGGGTGTCCACAAGACATCGCTACTGTCCGCCGGAATTTCTACAGACACCACAAACGCTACATCCGCATGAACGGAGCGTACTCCAGGGACCTGGCCAGGACAAACGGTCACCTCCAGGGCAGCTCGTGGTCCCTGGATGACATCAAGCTGCTCATGTGCGTGTGGACAAAGAGGCAGCACCGATACGATCCTCGATCACTCAGCACTACCTTCGTTGACGACAGCAACTCCACTACCCACACCGCTTCTGAGCTGCAGAAATCTCTCGACGAAACCGCCAAGTTTGACCGATTCTCAGGTCAACGCATTCACCCTGGTAAAGTGGCAGGGTGGGCGCTCACAGACGAGCTTCACGCCGCCGTTACCCAGCTCACGCTGGCGGATCGCCCCCTATGTGTGGTCGATTCCTCAAAAAAAAGAATAAATAAAAAAAACAAAAGAACGCAAATTACCATGACACAGCATCTAAGAAAAGACGAGACCACAACATCAGAGGATAGCGACGACGAACAAAAACAAAAACACAAAAAAAAATAAACCGATAAAAAAAAAACCAAGACAAGCGTCTCATCAAAAAGCTCGTCGGGAGTTACATCCACGCTGAGGCAGCGCCGGCTCCAGCCGCGCTTAACCTCACGGCCACCGCAGACGCCCGTGTACGGAGGGCGACTATTCGCCTGCCGCGCATTGGCAAGCTCCCATCGCCGATGCTTATCAAGGCGCGGCACGCCCGCTCCCTTGCTGCCAGCGTCTGCACCACGGGCACCGACATTCAAGCACCATCAGGCCCAGCCAAGACTGCCTACAACCACGCCCTCAAGGCGGCTATCCGCCCCAAGGGGAACAAGTGGGTCGAGTTCTGGACTCTCATGGCCGTGTGCGTCCCAGGACACGCCCTGGAGATCGACGCAATCACGCAGCGTGAAGCATTCCTGTGCCTGCGGCGACAGGTTAACCGCGACGTTACACTCTGCGGGCTCGCCAGAGACCTCCAACACCACGTCCAGACCCTGTTTGGTGGAGGACCCGTCGGGCGACTCGTCCAGTCGCTCCAGCAGCTCCGAAGGACCTGGCCCACATTTGGCATCATGTACGATGACTGGGGCTGCCCGATCAGCTGGCTGAATCTACCCCAAAACGCCTTCCTGCACATGCTGCGGGCCTCACAACGCAGGGCATTTCTGCGGAGGATCAATCCACGGCGACACGACCTTGGCTACCTCGCCTCTGTCAGACAGGGCCTTGACCTCTTCGCCAGCACGTGGCTCGCGCGAACTAAAGGAGCAGCCAAATGCACAGCCTGGCAGCTGGCGCTCCTCCTGAACTACCTGTCGGGCGGGGACCACACCCAACAGCGACGATCCCGATCAAACACGTCGGCAGACCCCAGCCCCATGTGCCGCTACTGAGACGAGGAAGAGGAAACTCAGGAGCACACTGTCCGCGACTGTAAGTGCTGGGCCCGAGAAAGACTCCCTCTCACCACCCTCATCAGTGACGACCAGTGGGCCCGTCTTCCGCCGCACACAAGACACTGCGGGCTCTTCGACGAAGACCCAGCCCCCCTCGACCTGCAGGCCGACCTCGCGAGGGACCCGCTGCCACAGCCCATTCCGCGGCCCTCCCCTGAGGGTGATCCTGCGGCTTCAGCCCAGGACACCTACACCACCTACCTCGACTACGACACTGGTTGGACATGGGTCTATGCTGCCACGGACGGTGCGTGCACCAACCAAGCCATCCCATTGCTAGCACGAGCGGGTTACGGCGTCTACTACGGCATCGATCACCGCATGAACTACAGTGCACGCGTTCACGGCCTAACGCAGAACGCCCAGGTTGCGGAGACCCTCGCCATTGTCCACCTTACCGCATGTGCCGAACGGCCCGTGCACGTTTTCGTGGACAACCAGGCGGTGGTCGATGGGTTCCAAAGCATCATCGACGGACATCCAGCGCCGCAGGGCACGCACGCGGAGCTCTGGGAAAAGATCCACCGATGTGTTATGGCCAAGCCCAACAGGTTTCGCGTCGAAAAAATCGCCAGCCACCTGGGAGACCTGGGCATCGACCTTGGGCTCATCGGGCCCATCGCGGAGGAGTTCAACCGTCAGGCCGACGCCCTTGCCAAAGCGGCGGCACGCACGCACAACCTTCCCGACGACATTGTTGAAGCTGCCAAAACACGACATCGCCAAGCGACCGTGCTTCATGGGTTCGCTGTCGCTATCTACGAGCGCAGACACCGTACTCTGCCGCTCCCACACCGCAGGGCTGGGTTTACAGCAGCGGAACTCAGCAAAATGGAACCGAAACCCCTGCTGTCGGACCAGGCACCACCCGCGGCTGGACCATGCATCCCGCAGAACCCGGATGAGCTCTGGGCCGAAGCCCAACGGGCGATGCACGACGAACAGGAGGACGACCCGTTCGGCTTCGGCGGGGGATTAGACTTCCTGGACGACGGGCCAGCCAGCGCCAACCCTGCCCCGTCGGGCAGCCTCTCGACGCCCACCTCGGCTCCGCCACCGAGAGCGACATCGCACCCACATGATGACGTCGCTCACCGTCAAGACGCCGACGAGGACCTTTATGATCCCCTCGGATTGAGTGGCAGCATAGACGACGCCCCGCCGACACCCCACGCTGCCGACGACGCCGCTCCATCGAGACGCCACCCGACCACGCGACCGACCTCCGAGCCCTCGCACGGCATCATGTTTGGCCCCCCCGTGCCACCCACCCCGCCCCCCCACCAGCGCCAGCCCGCGGGGGCGGCTCCAGCCCCCCCGCAGGGCACCGAGCCAGTTAGGCCGTCGCACCCCGTCCACGCTTTTACTGTTGCTGGGTGCGAGGCCGCGGCTCCTCCGTCCTCACGGGGCGCGGCCCTAGCGGCTTCAGCCCTGGGACCGCGCGTTACCCTCCAGTCGCCTCTCAAGGGCGACGGCCGCCAGCACACGGATCGCCGCACCGCGCTGGTCCACCACCTGGCCAAGCGCACCGATGACCTCGTCCCTGCCACGAGGCCCGCGGCCGCAGGCACAGAGCAGCCGCCCCTCACCGACACCGAAACCGAGCTGTCCCAGTCTATGGCCGCTCTTCAGCAGAGGTGTGCTGCTCTCGCCGCCGACCTTGCCGCTGCTCAAGCCCGTCAAGGCCCTCTGCTCCAGCGCCTCCACCGCGCCGGGCGTGCCTTCGCCGAGCTGCTTACACCCTCGCCCGATGGTGCTGCGCCGCCACACACCCTCCATGCTATGCTGTCATCGCTCCGCGGCGCTCCGCCTGGAGCCCCGCGCTAATCTCCGCCATTCTGCCTGCCCGTGTGTACGCGTGGCCCCGCGTCCACGGTGTCAGGGCGCGGGGGAGGGGGGTGCCCCGTCCCTGCGCGCCGCGTTGCGGCCAAGCGCCCAACTGGCGGTCTGCCAATCCGCCTAGCCACGTGTCAGCACGTCGCCTTTCTTGTTGGGGCCTTCTTCGTCACGCGGTCTGACACGTGAGATCTTCACCGTCTGTCCGCCGTCTGTAGCGTCTGTCGCATTGCGCCGGGGGAGGGGGTTTGTTGCCCGCCCTCGTATCTCAAGGCTGCGCGCCTCGCGGACGGACCCTGGTCCGCCTACTTGTCCGGTCTCTCTCTCTCTCTCTCTCTCTCCTCTGTCCTCCTCCTGTATTATTATTCGTATTCTTCTTGTTATTCGTATTAGTATTATTCTTATTCGTATTCACAATATTACTCTTCAACAACATCATCGTCATCATCATCGTCATCATCATCATCATCATCATCGTCATCATCATCATCATCATCATCATCATCATCATCATCATCATCATCATTATCATTATCGTCATCAGTATCATCATCATCATTATTATTATCATCATCATCATCATCATCATCATCATCATATCATCATCATCATCATCATCATCATCATCATCATCATCATCATCATCATCATCATCATCATCAGCATCATCATCATCGCCACCACCACCACCACCACCATCATCATCATCCCCCTCATCACCACCACCACCACCACCACCACCCGTCTCCTCACCACCTCGATCATGATGATAATCAGCACCACCATCGTGACCACCACCAGCACCACTGACATCACTATTGCCCATCCTGCCCCTCCGAACCGACAAAGGCCTCGCACTCGACCTCGGGCTCGCCGCCGACTTCGGCCTTACCGTCCCACGTCGCCAGCAGCTCGCTCTGCAGCAGCTCGGGCAGCAGCTCTGCGAGCAGTTCCCTCGGCAGGCCTATGTCCCTGATGACTCGCACCTCTGGGGTCCCCTCAGGAGGCCCACACATCAAAAAACGCGAGCGCCTCAGGAGGATGAGGACGGGGAGGACAAGGGGAAGGAGGAGCGGGAGGGGGGGGTGATGACAATCTCGGCGGCGGCATCAGCGTCATGATGATAATAGGCCCGTGGGTCGGAGTTCTTTCCTCCAAGGCGAGTGTGGCGCCAGCCACGCTCCCGACCACCAGTCTGAAACCGTACAAGATTTGGCTCCAGAGAAACTCGTGTACCTCAGCACGATGATTATGAGTGTCCTACTAAGTGTAGTTATGGTAGATGAATTTATTTGTCTGGCACGAGCTCTATGAAGCCCACAAATGTCGAAACGACCGCACACGGGCGGCTCGAGGGGCGGCAAAACGTTCGGCGCGATTGCTGTTACTGAACATGTATGTTCCCCGTCACCCTCCTCCGAATGCTTCTGTCTCCGTCCCCATCTTGCCATTCCTGCACCTGCTGTCCTTCTGCGAGCTCATGCACACTGCGGCCCCTTCAACATGAGGAGGAGGAGCAGAGGAGGAGGAGGAAGGGGAGGAGGGAGAGGAGGAGGAGTGAGGGAGAGGAAGAGAGGAGGATGAAGGAGGATGAGGAGGAGGAGGAGAGAGGAGAAGGAGGAGGGGAGTCGGAGGAGGAGTAGAGGAGGGAGGAGGAGGGGGGGAGGAGGACGTAAAAACGAGGAATGCTTGTTTTGTATTGTATCAGGGACGGGGACAGGTGGGAATTGTGAAGGGTGAGTGTGGGAGGAGTGCGTGTGGGCGTCAGTTTGTATTGAGCAGTCCCAAATAGAATCACCAAACGTTTAGCAATCGTCGGGTACGTCACCGAGTGACCGTTGACGGTCCTGCGCCTGCCGAGAGGGCCCCCGGACGCCGCGAGAAAGGCCACAGACCTCCCGTCGTGCTTGCGCCACGGTGAGAAGAGGTGGGGAGCTTCTCCTCCTCCTCCTCCCCTCCTCGCCCTCCTCTGCCTCCTCCTCCTCCGCCTCTTCCTCCTCCTCCTCCTCCTCCTCCGCCTCCTCCTCCTCCGCCTCCTCCTCCGCCTCCTCCTCCTCCTCTGCCACGGTGGGGGGACGTCCACGAGCACTCCGAGAACGTGCAGCCGCCACTCTCGACGACCACGAGAGGCGACCGTACCCATATCAGCGCACTCGCGGCCTGGATTCCCTGGGCACGATGCCGCGGATATGCGGTCGCAGAGACACGTCACGCGCGGGGCACTCGCGAAAAAACGCCCCGTATCCGTGGGGGTCACGGCTCAGGAGCCCGGCCCGCGAGACCGTGGATACGGGTGTGGCCTTCGCCCGCGAATGGCCGGGCACCTTCTCGGAGCCCGCCGGGCAGCTGCGCGCCCACGCCTGCGGGGATCGCCGACGTCATCGGCGCCGCCGCCCCCCCCCCCCCCCCGCCCCCCCGAGGGTCTTCGCAGCCGCCGTCTTCGACGTCGTCGAGCTCATGCGCCGTCCTCCTCCTCCTCCTCCTGCCTGTCCTGCCCTCCTCCTCCTCCTTCCTTTTTCCCTTTTTTCCTCCTCCTCCTCCTCCTCCTCCTCCTCCTCCTCCTCCTCCTCCTCCTCCTCCTCCTCCTCCTCCTCCTCCTTCTCCTCCTGAACATCCGCCGACCCTTTGTGGGTCTCTAGGCGTGTGAGATTGCTCCCTCCCCATAACCCCCCCCCCAGGGACCCCAAACCGGAGATTTGAGCCCCCCGGCCCCGGACGAACGCGCCATGGGAGCATAGAGGGCCCCCAAACGGGCCCAGAGGGCCCCGAGTGGGCCCCAAGACGATCCGTTCCAAGACGCCCACGATGGCAGCCAGACTGCCCAAGATGTCTCCAAAACGCTCCAAGAGGCCTCCAAAAGGCCTCCCAAAAGGCACCGAATAAATGAAAATAGCCCCATTTCCTCAGGAAAACGTATGTTTAAAACAGATTCGCCTCTTACGCTTTTCTACCGTGCAAGACAGCCCAAAAGACCCCTAGGAAAGCTCTAAGACGGCCCAGAAGGGTCCCAAGACCGCCAAAGAAGCCCCGATGACGGCCCCAGAGGACCCCCCGACGGCGCTAAAAGGGGGGCCCACGGGGGGAACCCGAACCCACATTTCCAGCCTTCGGCCCTAGGACGCCCCCAGATTGCCTCAAGAAGCGCCCAACACGCCCCAAGAAGCCCCCAGGGAGCCCGAACAGAGGCCCCAAACGCCCCCAAGAACCTACCAGGAATCAGACAAGCCTCGTGGAATGCAGTCCTGGACGTGCAGTAGTTTATAGAGGGGTCGGATGTGGCGTAAGCCTATAGAATCAAATTCACCACTTCAGGGGGATCATTTCAGAGTTTCTGGCCAGGCTCCTCCTCCGCCTCCTCCTCCTCCTCCGCCTCCTCCTCCTCCTCCTCCTCCTCCTCCTCCTCCTCCTCCTCCTCCTCCTCCTTCGTTTTCTCCTCCTCCTCATCATCCCCCTCCTCCTCGTCCTCACTATCATCATCATCCTCTAGTGTACTTAGTGTGCCCTTCCTCCTCGCAGGAGGGAGAAGGGAAGGAACGGCGGGGCAGCAGTTAGGAGGGGGGAGGGATAAGGATAAGAGATGATGAACGGGAGGAGATGAGCGAGGAGCCAGGAGACAAAGGAGGGAGGCAGGGCAGGAGGAGGAGGAAAGAGAAAGGGCAGGTCATCCTGCTACTCCGCCTCCTCATCCTCCTCATCTTCCTCCTCCTTCTCCTCCTCCTCCTCCTCCTCATCATCATCATCATCATCATCATCATCATCATCATCATCATCATCATCATCATCATCATCATCCTCATCATCATCATTCATCATCATCAATCATCAATCATCAGCATCATCATCATCATCATTCATCATCATCCCCTCCTCCTCCTCCTCCTCGCTCCTCCTCCTCCCTCCTCCTGCTCCTCCTCCTTCTCCTGCTCCTCCTCCTCCTCCCCCTCCTCCTCCTCCTCCTCCTCCTCCACCTCTCCTGGCGTCTCCTACTATGAATCTGGATGATTCGTCCTAGTCGTCGTTCGCCTCACCCTTTCGTCTCATCATCCCTCCTCCTCCTCGCCCTCCTCTTCCTCATTATCATCCTCCTCTTACTCCTCGCCAACTGCATCAGCATCATCATCATCAGCCTGATCATCATCACCATCATCATCAGCATCAGGATCAGCATCAGCATCAGCATCATCATCCTCATCACCCTCATCATCATCAGTATCGTCATCATCAGCATCAGCATCATCATCACCATCACCAGCATCATCAGCATCATCATAATCAGCATCATCATCATATTCATCATTGTCGTCAACATCACCACCAGCAGCATCGCCATCACCATCACCATCACAATCACAATCGCAATCGTAATCACCATCACCAGAATGATCATCATCCTCAGCAAGACCAACACCATCAGCATCATCAGCATCATCACTATTATATTGCCCATCACTACCATCATCAACAGCCTCATCACCATCATCAGCATCATCATAATCATCACCTGCGTCGTCATCATCAGCATCATCAACAGCATCAATAACATCATCAGCATCGTCATCATCCTCATCCTCATCCTCGTCCTCATCACCAGCACCACCACCACATTCATCATCATCCTCAACTTGAGGATCCCGTTTCCTCCTCCTCCTCGTCCTCCTCCTCCATGTCTCTCTTCCTTCTTCATTCTTCCTCCTCCTCCTCCTCCTCCTCCTCCTCCTCCTCCTCCTCCTCCTCCTCCTCCTCCTCCTCCTCCTCTACTCCTTCCAAGCAGCGTTCCTCCTCCTCCCCGCTCTCCTCCTCTTCTCCTTGCGCTCCTCCCCCCTTCCCTCCTCCTGGCCCGCCCCTCCCGTCGAGGACACCTCCTCCGCGCCGCACCGCCGTCCCGTGCGTGGGTCGTGCGGCCCGGGCGCTCCGCCCCGAAGCGAGCGAGAGCCACGCGAGCAGGCCAGGCCCATAGGTAGGTGCCGCAGGTAGGAGAGATATGAGGGGAGGAGGAGGAGGAGGAGGAGGAGGAGGAGAGGCAGGAGGAGGAGGAGGAGGAGGAGGAGAAGGAGGAAGGAGGAGGAGGAGGCGGAGGAGGAGGGGAGGAGGAGGAGTAGGAGGGGAGGAGGAGGAGGAGGGGTGGGGAGAAGAGGAGGAGGAAGGGGGGGAGAGGAGGAGGAGGGGGAGGGGGGATGAGGAGGAGGAAGAGGAGGAGGAGGAATGAGGAAGGATGAGGCTAAGGGGGAGGCTGAGGCGGAGGAGGAGGAAGGAGGAGAAGGAGGAGGTGAGGATGGGAGGAGGAGGAGGAGGAGGAGGAGGAGATGAGGAGGAGGATGAGGAGGCTGAGGAGGGGCGGGGGAGGAGGAGGAGGATGGAGGGTATGAGATGGAGGAGGAGGAGGAGGAGGAGGAGTGGAGGAGGGAGGGAGGTGAGGAGGGGGGGGAGGAGGGGGAGGAGGAGGAGGAGGAGGAGGAGGAGGAGGAGAAGAAGGAGGAGGACCTCCCAATCCTCCCTTCTCCCCCGTCCTGCCTATGGTAGTGGTGGTATGACATCGGCCCATCAGCTTAACAGTCAGCCTGCCCGCCAGGCAGCGCGGAGCACGGACGGCTGAGGCCTCCCCTCAGACTACGACCGCAGGCGTCTAAGACTCCAGCCTACATTCAAGTCGGGCATGTCCCCCTACAGGAAAGTTTTTGACGAAAAATGAAAACTACCCAAACGTTGTCAAAAAATGCTCAAACAATAGTCCCCAGACTGTGGTTTGACTATTTTTGAATAGTACCCCTGTAGAGGAACAGGCCCGATTTAAGCCTACATACCCGGGTAGAGCATTGATGATGCTCAAAATCGGGTTCCCGTCTGGGCGCCGAGCGCGCGCGCTCGCCTCAGCGCCTCACCTTCGGGAAGATACACGCGTGGCGCTGGCCTCCCCCATTGGAGTCGCTCATGTTCGACTTCAAACTTCAACCACGAACTCTATATATGTGGTCGAAAAACCGCTCCAGCTACACTCAAGCGAGCCCTGCGGCCAACCCCAACCAATCCCATCCAAACTTCCTGGCCAACCCCTCCAGCCAACACTGGTCAGGACAATCCTTTCATAAGACATAATACCCTGATAAAGGGCGGATCCGTTCCTGGCTCTCGATTGAGCTTTCGTCCAGTGTGTAGTGTGTGACCCTGACGCCTAACACATCCAACAACTGCATTGCGGAAGGGCGGTTTTTGTTCAATCACTGGCTGTCGCTTGAAGATCGATGCTTGGAAGCCCCAAGGCTTGACATGCCCAACAGATTACTGAGGAATGGAGGGCGACTCGGTTTCAAATCGTGTACCCACCTGGAGTTTCCTTACGCCTTGTGACCTGAAAAGCCTAAAGGTTCAGCACAATACAAGTACGGAGGGCGACTCGTTTCCAAAGCCGTGCTCCCACTTCAGCACCAAGCGCTTGCCTCTCAAGGCTTCTACCCGCTGCCTGAAATGAGAGCGATTCCCGTTCCTGGAGAAACTAACAAATACCGATACCGTCACTCCCCTGACCTCTCCTGGAGTGCGAGCTGACTAGAGTTCCAAGGAGAATCCAGTCGTGGCGACGAATGCTTTCCAGAACGATCAGCGGTATCAGTAACTAGATGTTCCTTCCTGACTTCGAGCCCGCTGCCCCATGTGAGCTCGCGGTCGGCTCTTCGTGTGGCCACCGATGCACATTTCAGAACGAATGCAGCTCTCACACGCGCCACGTCTCTCTCAAGCGGGAGCTCGCCGTGGGCACCGAGATCACACCTGCCGACTTGAGAGAAGGCGCATTGGGACGGGAAGGCGTATTGGGAAATCAGTGCATGGCTTGCTCCGGTCATCGTGGCCATCCTAAGCAGTACGTCGCTATAACCATCATCATATTCAACGACAGCACCACCACCACCATCATCAACAATGTCAGCCTCTCAGTTTCGCCCTCGTCCTCCCCAGCATCATCAGCATCATCAGAAACATCATAAGTATCATCATCATCGCCATCGGTAGCATCATCAGCATCAGCATCAGCATCAGCATCAGCATCAGCATCATCATCATCATCATCATCATCATCATCATCATCATCATCATCATCATTAGCAGCATCATCATCATCATCATCATCATCATCATCATCATCATCATCATCATCATCATCATCATCATCATCATCATCATCGTCTGGACCACCACCGCCACCGGCTTCATCATCAGTATCATTAACATCATCACTATAACCAGCATCCTCATTATGATCAACAACGTCATCATCACCGTAAACACCATCACCACCAACAGCATCATAATCGTCGCCATCGCGATGGTCGTCAACACAACCAATATACAGGTCGTCCCTGACGGCCACCATCAACATACTCATCGTCATTCACGTCACCATCAGCATCATCGTTAAATCGCACAGTCATCGTGATACCGTCAGGAACGCTGAATACAGGCATGACATGGATTGTTCTGGCCACGCTGACCCTCGGCCACGGACAATTTCCCCGACCTGCATTTGAGGAACGGCCCGAAAAGCAGAGCCCCTCCCGTGTGAGAAAGATGGTCGGTCTGAAGAGCCAAGGTGCCTGGTGCTCACCCCCTGGGGATGGACCCCGCACTGCAGGCCCGGATGCTCCCCAAAGACGCTTGCGCTGTTGGGGCTGCACGCGATCCGGCAAGAGAGTGAATGGAAAATGCGATGTGTGCCCAGGGGGATAAGGCAGCCTGTGTGGCCCCAGACGCAGAGGCGGCACTGCTACTCCACATCCTGAGCACAAATTAGTCCGTCTTTCAGCGTCGTGGCTGTATCGTCGTCGTCGTCGTCGCCGTCGTCGTCACCGTCGCCGTCGCCGTCGCCGTCGCCGTCGCCGTCGCCGTCGCCGTTCGCCCTCCTCCTCCTC